ATATTTTTATAATTGTGATAGAATAACAAATATATCTGTTCTTCATCCCTGGTTCCTAGCATGGAGCTCTTAAAACTCTTGGAATTTCCTCAGTGATAGTGTTCTTTTCTCCTTTGATCACACCTGAGTTCACACTAATCAGATGAGTAAGGGTCGGGCCTCCAGGCAGCCTCAAGATGGAGCTGGTCACCAAAAAGACCAAGTGATTATAGAGAATTGGAAATTTCAGTACCACTCACCTGACCTCCGAGAAACCTGAGCTCTGTTAAAAACTCCTGAACTTAGAGATTCAGAGAGCTAGTGAACACATCACGGCGTCGGAGGTGCTGGGAGGGTGGCATGCCCCTTCTATCAAACCCTGTCCTGTACATCTCTTCCATTTGGCTGTTCCAGAGTTGCATTCTTTTTAATAAACCAGTAAACATTAGTAAAGTGTTCTCCTGAGTTCTGTGAGCCATTGAAGCAAATTTTCTTTTTTTAATTGAAGTACAGATGATAAACAATTTTATCTAACTTACAGGTATACCAATAGTGACTAACAACTTTTAAAGGCTCTAGTCTACTTACAGTTATTAGAAAATATTGGCTATATATCCCTGTGTTGTACAATATATCCGTGTAGCTTAACAGTTTTTACCTCTTAATACCCTATGCCCACTATATTGGCCTTCCCAGCACTTCCCTCTCCCCACTGGTAACCACAGTTTGCTCTCAATATTGTGACTCTGCTTCTTTTTTGTATTATTCACTAATTTGTTGTATGTTTAGATTTCACAGTTCAGCAGTATCATACAGTATTTGTCTTTCTCTGTCTGACTTATTTCACTTAACAGCATATACCCTCAAAGTCCATTCATGTTGCTGCAAATGGCAAAATTTCACTCTTTTTACGACTTAGTCATATTCTATTGTATACCACATCTTCTTTACCCGTTCATCTACTGGTGGATGCTTAGGTTGCTTCCATATCTTGGCAATTTTAAATAATGCTGCTATGAACCTGTGGTGCATGTGTGTTTTTAATTCATGTCTTTGTTTTATTCAGATACATACCCAGCAAATTTTCAAATCTGAGGAAAGAGCCATGGGAATCTCAGATTCAAGGCCAGTCAGCTAAAGTTCATAAACAACCAGAGACTTGAGGATCTCATCTGAAGTAAGGGCAGTATAATGAGACTGAGTCCTTTAACTGGACTCACAGGATTTGATACTATCTCCAGGTAGAGAGTGCCACAACTGAATTCCTGGAAATGCAGTTGGGTGTTAAAAAACTGAAAAACTGCTTGGTGTGAGAAAACACCCAGGGTAATAATATTTATAACCTGATATATCAATTAATAACAAGACTAATTTTATCATGTAGTTTTTAATATTAAAAAATCTAACCTTTTTTAGGCTCAAAATTAATCAATCTTAACTTATAACTTCTGAAATGTGGCTATCTAAAACTTAGTCTAGCTTTAAAAAGTGAAAGTGCACAATGATCTTTTTTGAAACATTTTATAATGCCAAAACTTTCCAAATTAACCATATATGCCCTTCCAGGCCCAACTCTAACTCTCCCCGAAATAAACCCTCTGAATTAATATATTTCTTAACCTAAAACAATGTTAAACAATGATTAGTTCCTCAGTAATACCAAAAATCAGAGGAAAACAGCACCACTAGTGTAATAACTTAAAATTATAACCTTTCAACACAGTACAAGGTTTAGTGTTAAAAAGTTATTTCCAATTTAATTGATGGACCGAATTATGAAACTGAACAGGGCACTCATCTACTTAACACTGGACACTCTGAGCTGACACAGAGTTTGATCAAACTAATACTGTAAATGATTAAGAAAATGTACAACAATATTTTCAGGAAATCTATTCAGTCTAGAGAATATAATTTCCTTTACAAAGAGTTATCAAATATATGAACATAAAATGCTATTTATTCCATAATTCATACAGATAATAATAATTTATGGAGTAAATAAAACTTATGTTAGAAGACTGATCTTCAAGATCCTAAGTAAATATACTGGCAACTAAATAAACCATTTAGACAATCTTCAGAGGATTAGAATGAACAATTTATCACTAATAATCTAGGGCATTACTTTTAAATGCTTTACTAAAAAACTAAAAGTAGTTTTATAGCTTGACTTTGTTGTGTATATTGTGTGTCTCTGTAGTGGAAGAGAGAAAAAATGGTGATGATGCTGAGAGAATGAATTACTCGGTATAATAAAGTGACCTTTAATAAATGACAACTACTTTGCTACATTCTAGTAAGTAAAACTAATAATCCATCGACTTCATTTCACTCACTCTTTTTGAACAATAGAATATATTTACATACTTCAAATACTTTTTAAGTTGAGAACAATGTAAAATAGGACTATCCTGTCATCTGTAGTTCTAAAAGTGAACAAATAAATTTGACTATTTTGAACTGAAGCCATGATTTTGATATTACTGGAACTGAGCTCAATTCAAAATGATTTAAACCCAATGAGAAGAGATTATTATCTCAATAAGCAAAAATCAGTTGATGCAGAGACAGTAAAAAAAAAAAAAGACTAAAGAGTTAATATCTGATCTAATAAGTACTAAGAAATCACTGTTAAACTTCTAAGCTAGAGAAAAACATTCTCAAAGTGATATGCATGATGAATTAGAGTGGAAAAATGTAGAAGTGATAATCTACCCATAAAATAATAAATACCTAGATTAAAATGGAACAATAACTAGAACAGATAAGTGGAAAGGGGGGGGGGGGAATTAATTCTAAGAACACAAAATTTCATTTATTGCAGGGGTTGACACTACAGCCCAATACTGGCTTTTGTGCAAACAAAGTTTTACTGAAACACAGCCATGGCCATTACTCCATATACGGTCTGTGGCTGCTTGGCACTACAATGGGACTGATGAGTAGATACAAGAGATTATACGGCCCACAAACATCTAAAATATTTATTAGCTAGCCTATGTTAGTTTCCTAGGGCTGCAGTAATAAAGTACCATAAACTGAATGACTTAAAATAACAGAAATTTATTTTTTCTCAGGTCTGGAGGCTATAAATCTGAAACCAAATGTTAGCAGGGCCATGCTCTCTGAAAGGCTCTAGGGGACAACCTGTTTGATGCCTTTCTCTTGGTTTCTGGGGTCATCAGCAATCCTTGTCATTCCTTGACTTGTAACTTCCTAACTCCAATCTCTGCCTCCACTGGCACATGATAATCGTCCTCCCCCACCTGCTTCTCCACATGGTTTTCTCCTCTCTTACAAAGACACCAGTCATGCTGGATTAAGGACCCATGCTAATCCATTATATGCTCCTCTTAAATAACTACATCTGAAATAAACCTATTTCCAGATAAGGTCACAATATGATGTTCTGGCGGTTAGGACTTCAAAATATTTAGGGAGTGGGACACATTTCAACCCTTAGCCTGGTCCTTTACATTAAAGTCTGCCAACTCCTGATTCAGAAGACTAAACAAGAGGAGAAGCAGGTCCACAAGTGCCATTGAGGGATTTCAAAGAGAAGAGCTGGGACTTTGTTTTAGATAAACTAATCTGAAAACAAGAGTCCTCAAAAGACATCAGGCAGAAAGCCATACATGTAGGTCAGAATCTGGATTGACTTAGAGATGGAGGAAATAAGAGTAACCTAAAAACAGATGAGGAGTTTCAAGGTAAATGTTTTATGAAACTATTCAAAGTGTTAGTCGCTCATTCATATCCAACTCTTTGCGACCCCATGGACTGTAGCCCTGCAGGCTCCTCTGTGAATTGAATTCTCCAGGCAAGAATACTGGAGTGGGATGCCATTTCCTTCTCCAGGGGATCTTCCTGACCCAGGGATGGAAACCAGGTCTCCCGCCCAGAGGCATATTCTTTACCATTTAAGCCACAGGGATACAGCAGGTCAAAAATTGATCTTTAGAGAATGCTACTATTACATAACAATGTGATTAGACAACAGTGTGATGAGAAGATGTCACTGTTACACATTAGATAATAATGTAGAAAACAATGTAACTTAGTATTATATAAACTAAAAGAAAAGCAGTGTCAACAATGACAAATACAACAAAAAGGTTGACAGACCTAAAACAGTGACCAGGAAATTTGGTAAGAATGAGACCATAATCAAATAAAGAAAACAATTTCTATGAAGAAAACTAAAAGGGACACCAGGCCAGGGGTAAGGTGAGAATCCTTACGAAATAAAGCATTATTTATTTGTACAGTGGCTACAGTAGATTACGATACTGGTGACCCACAAATAAACCACATATCCTGGCATTCATATTTTCATATAATCCTCTCCCACACAGACCCTGAATTCAGCCAGTCAGCTTGCTTTAAACCAATTTGATATTAACAGGTACTGGCAAGCAGGGGTGCGTTAAGTACTGTCACATGGAAACGAGTTTTCTTGGAACACCGCCACCTGGAAGGCCAGCTGTCTTGCCATGAGGAAGTCTGAGCCAGACCCCTGAATGGGGACAGGTTAGTAACTGCCAGACGGCGAGACTGAAGGGAAAGAAAGTCATTTGAGATATTTCAGCCCAAAAGAGATCACAACTGAATACAACCGCCACCGTGACCCTGGGCCATAACTATGGGAATAGAAAATGCACCCAGCAAAGCCTGGTCAACCCAGAGAACCAGGAAAAATAATAAACTGTTATTTTAGACGACAAAATGTGCTGGTGGTTTATAAAACAGCAATAGGTGACATAGAACAGAATATATGTTTGAGAAACGCAAGTACATGAGGCCAAGGATTCTTATAAAACTGGGGAGACTTATATATGCATGAAAAAAAAAGAAAAAAACATGCTAAATACAAAGGGTAAAATTAAAACGTAAAGAAAAAAACTAAAGACGAGGAATACGGAGTTGAGTCATATAAGGAATAATGGGAAAATTCAAGACTATATAAACTTGGTTATGCTGTTATAAGAGAATATCAGTGAAAAAGGGTCTCCACCTACTTCATCACTTTCATCTACTTCGATTCCACCATCTTTGTCATCATCCATTTGTTTATGTATTGTTTGAAGAGCTTCCAGACTAAATCTATCTTCTTCTGTGAAGCATGGTGGACTCAGTGACATGCATGGATCTGAAATAAAACAAAGGGCGATTACTAACCTGCCACCCCAAAACACAGGCTGTAGTCAAGAGAGCTGAATTTCAAACTAAAGCAACAAATTAAATTTCAGACTAAGTCAAACTACAATGCTTTAAGAATTCTATCTAGCAGGGTACTCATCACATCAAAAGTATAGTATATGAACATACTGACTAAAAATAAATAATCCAACTTAATTGATATCAAACTACAACCAGTACTAAATTCAAGTTGTCCACATTCTTCCACATCTTCAATCATCTTCTTATTCAATTCATTATATTTGCAAATTAACCCTCCCAAAAAAACAGATAAGCTCCCTCCTTAAAAACTAAAAAAAAAAAAAAATTACAGAGCACAAGGGGTGTTTTTTTCTATAGTCCAGTTTAAAATTTGAGTCCTGAGGGAAACATCACAAGTACTAGAAAAAGAAATGTAGAACCACTGACATGACCCTTAGAAATGTCTACCATTTTCCTAACAGGTTCTAAGAGTCCATCACATGAGTCTCTAAATGTGCACCTTCCTAGATTTAACAAGGAAAAACTGAACTTTTAAAAACCTTGTTCTTCATGTTTTTAACAAATTTATTGCCTAAATAATTTTGTATGGAAATGAGTGAATCCTCACATGTAGATTGTCAAAAAGTAACAATTTAGAGAAAATATGTAATTTTTCATGACTTAAAATGAGATTAATAAAAATTACCTCTTGTAGACCTCAAATAGTAAACGCCTATATACCAAAATGGAAAAGTACTGCCAAAACTTCACTCATACCCAATCTGGCTGACTGGTAGACTGACAAATTCCAAGAACTGATTTATACCAAGTCACTAAAATAGTAAAATAATATCTTTTTTAAATGTCACCAAATTCACATGTACTTCTACAAATAGTGTGGTCTTAAAGTTTAAAGTCAAAGCTATGGTTTTTCCAGTAGTCATGTATGGATGTGAGAGTTGGACCATAAAGAAGGCTGAGCGCCAAAGAACGGATGCTTTTGAATTGTGGTGCTGGAGAAGATATCTGAGAATCTCTTGGACTGCAAGGAGATCAAACCAGTCAATCCTAAAGGAAATCAACCCTGAATATTCACTGGAAGGACTCGTGCTGAAACTGAAGCTCCAATACTGGCCACTTTATGCGAAGGGCTGACTCATTGGAAAAGACCCAGATGATGGGAAAGATTCAAGGCAAAAGGACAAAGGGGTGGCAGAGGATAAGATGGTTAGATAGCATCACTGACTCAATGGACATGAATCCGAGCAAACTCTGGGAGATAGTGAAGGAAAGACGAGCCTGGTGTGCTGCAGCCCATGAGCCTGCAGAAACTCAGGCATGACTTGGTGACTGAACAACAGCAACAGTTTAAAATGGTCATCAAGAATAGTTAAAAACCTAGTTTATCATCTGGTCTTACTACAAATTAACTGACTGTGGACAAATCACTTGGCCTTATGTCTTAGTTACATCTCCTCTAAAATAAAGCAAGTAGACTAGATATTTACTAAGCTCTATTGCAGTTATAATGGCCTAAGAGTATCTAATTCTGCACTGAGGGAAAAAAATAAGAAAAGAAGTCAGTCCTGGAGACCAACTAATAACTTCCTTTAAAAACAAAAACAAAAACAAAAAAACAATTTAAGTCTCTATTACCTACATGCTCTACTTACAGACCATTTTGGCAATTTAACATTTTTAATAGTTTTAAATCAAAACCTAATTTTCATTCCTTTAGTCCTGAAAGGGAAGGAAACAGAAAAGCCTATAAAAATAAAAAAGGAATTATAAGTTATGTGACATAAATGTGTAAATATTTAAAACTCTGATTAACATTTGCTAAAAATCTAAGAACTTATAAAAATAATGGTCAATTAAAATCCCTAATTCACAAAACATCCAGAACCCTGAGGTGCCCACAACTTATCCTGAATGAATGCAAAATAAAATATAAGCTCTCAGGTACCACAACAACATATGGTATAAAGAAGATTATGTGTACAATGTGTTATTGCCTCTCACAGACATAATTTTATACATATTTTATTTTGCAAATAAGCATATGAAGTGAGTTTATTATAACTAGCACATAAGGAAAGGATCAGCATCACTCACTCTGATTAAATAGGCTTGTTGTTAAACTCTAAGCAATGTCAACAGCGCGGACAGTAGTAATGTTAAAAAGCAGAGACAAGGAGGAGGTCCTATGATCTGGGAAAAACTCATACGCAAACAAAATTTTTTTAACTTAAATTAATAAAACACTATCTTTCAGAATCTACCTCTGAATGTAACTTCTTCATGAAGTATTTCATAAAAAACCAACTACTGAGTACTTCTTTCTCTGAACGCCATTCCATCCATTCAACAGATATCCAGAGCACGACCATGTGTCAGGCATTGGAAATAGCAGTGAACAACAGAGAGAAAAATTTCTCATAAAACTTACATTCTAGTGGAGGAGATGAGCACAACGAGATAAGCAGAATGAATAGCATGTTAGGAGTGGTAAATATTAAGGAAAAACAGAACAAAGAGCAGATAATGAAATGCCAAGGAATTTGAAATTCTCAACTGTATCTTTATTCTCATCCTTTAATGTTGTACCAGAACGGCCAAGTGGTTAAGGCGTTGGACTTAAGATCCAATGGATTTATATCCTCGTGGGTTCGAATCCCCCTTCTAGTACAAAAGGTCCTGCTTTTGGCTTCCCTGGTAGCTCAGTTGGTAAAGAATCCCCCTGCAATGCAGGAGACCCCGGTTCGATTCCTGGGTCAGAAAGATCTGCTGGAGAAGGAATCGGTTACCCACTCCAGTATTCTTGGGCTTCCCTTGTGGCTCCGGTGGTAAAGAATCTGCCTGCAATGCAGGAGACCTGGGTTTGATCCCTGAGTTGGGAAGATCCCGTGGAGAAGGGAAAGGCTAGCCACTCCAGTATTCTGGCCTGGAGAATTCCATGGACTGTATAGCCAGTGGGGCCGCAAAGAGTCGGACACGACTGAGCGACTTTCACTTTAACCTCTAATTGCTTAATGTGATTTTGTCCATATGACTAAGATTATGAAAAGGGCAGGGGCCATGTTCTTCCATTTCTCACATGCTCATAATACCCACAACTCAGCTGGACACATTCTGGACCTCTGTAAATTCTTCTACTTCATACAGTAACTAAATCACAAAGTTCTAGTCTTCTATACCGTGCAAGCCACTGGCCAGCATCAGGAATTAAAGCGATAGTAAGAGTATCCTGTGCTTGAAAAAGCTCACAGGCGAGAAAGGAAAAAAGGCGTGCAGCTGGCACTGAGAACATTAACTGTAGAGTGCTGTGAGAGCATGGAGGGATGGCACCTAATCCAGACTGGGAAAGAAGAGGCAGAACTTTTCTAGAGATAAACATGGGGAGTTTTAAAGATGAAGTTTTAACATGGGGAGTTTTAAAGAAGATCGATGACCTTGGGAGGGAGAGAAACGCATGCATCATACATTCAGTGGCATGAAAACAAGAAGAAACACTCAGAGAAATGCAACTGGTTGATATGTCTGGTACAAATTACATTCAGAGGAAAAAAAAATAAATAAACAAGATATCAAATAGGAGATTGGTAAGAAGGGATTAAAAACTCTAAAAGTAGTTTTTCCATACTAAGGAATTTGGATTTTTTATCCTGAAAACTAAGAGAAGCTCCCTAGAGATTTCAAGGAGAAGACCCACAAAATCAGATTCATACAGAGAGATCACTCTGGTGACAGTGGAAGATAAACGGACACAAGGCTGGGAGGCACAGCCATCAGGAAGCGCTGCAGGAAGCCTGGCAGCGCTCAACAGCCCATGCCCCCGAGGAATGGGAAGGTAAGTGACGAAGATTGCTCGAAGGTTTGGTGTTTTGCCACAATGGAACAGCAGAAGGAAAGGAAAGACAGGAGCTAAGGATATAGCAAGAGTGATCCATTTCTCTACATGAAATTGTTTCCGTTTGGTACAGTGTCTTAAGGCCTTTGAATTCTAACTTTGATGAGTTGTGACTTCTGAACTCCATTACCTGTTCCAGAAACATCTATTTCTGCTTAATTGACTATGCTAAAGCCTTTGACTATGTGGATCACAATAAACTCTGCAAAATTCTTCAAGAGATGGGAACACCAGACCACCTGACCTGCCTCTTGAGAAACCTGTATGCAGGTCAGGAAGCAACAGTTAGAACTGGACATGGAACAGCACACTAGTTCCATATAGGAAAAGGAGTACGTCAAGGCTGTATATTGTCACCCTGCTAATTTAACTTATATGCAGAGTACATCATGAGAAATGCTGGGTTGGATGAAGCACAAGCTGGAATCAAGACTGCCAGGAGAAATAACAATAACCTCAGATATGCAGATGACACCACCCTTATGGCAGAAAGAAGAACTAAAGAGCCTCTTGATCAAAGTGAAAGAGGAGAGTGAAAAGGTTGGTTAAAGCTCAACATCCAGAAAACTAAGATCATGGCATCTGGTCCCATCTCTTCATGGCAAATAGATGGGGAAATAGAGGAAACAGTGGCTGACTTTATTTTGGGGGGCTCCAAAGTCACTGCAGATGGTGACTGCAGCCATGAAATTAAAAGACGCTTACTCCTTGGAAGGAAAGTTGTGACCAATCTAGACAGCATATTACTTTGTCAACAAAGGTTCGTCTAGTCAAAGCTATGGTTTTTCCAGTAGTTATGTATGGATGTGAGAGTTTGACTATAAAGAAAGCTGAGCGCCGAAGAACTGATGCTTTTGAACTGTAGTGTTGGAGAAGACTTTGGTCCCTTGGACTGCAAGGAGATCCAACCAGTCCATCCTAAAGGAGATCAGTCCTGGGTGTTCACTGGAAGGACTGATGTTGAAGCTGAAACTCCAATACTTTGGCCACCTGATGACTGGAAAAGACCTTGATGCTGGGAAAGATTGAGGGCAGGAGGAGAAGGGGACGACAGAGGATGAGATGGTCGGAAGGCATCA